GTCTTAGTCCATCTTGGCTGTTCTAACAATATACCGTAGACTGTGTGGCTTCTAAACAACCACAATTTATTTCTCACAGCCCTGGAGGCTGGGAAATCCAAGATCAAGGTGGGAACCAATTCATTTTCCGGTGAGAATGTGTCCTCACAAGACAGAGGGGAAGGGAGTTTCCAGGGTCTCTTTAAGGGCAGTAATCCCACTAATCACCGCCCAAGGCCCCATCTCCTAATACTACCACATGGAGGTTAGGGTTTCCACCTATGACTTTGGGGATGGGGGAGGGGGCACAAACACAGTCTATGGCAGACACTAACCCGAGTTGTTTGCTGGAACCATTGGAAAGCTCATCTTTCTCCTGGGATGGCTAACCAAGTAGGAAATAACCTCAATATTCTGTCATATGATGAAACCACAGAGAAGAAGCCACGAGTTGAAAAAAAGATAGTTTCCTTTCAAATAAATTTAAAATTTGAGGTAATTTCAAACATACAGAAAAGCTGTGAGCATAGTACAAAGTTAGACCCGGCCGAAGCCAGTTTGGCTCAGTGGTAGAGCGTCGATCTGCAGACTGAAAGGTCCCAGGTTCGTCTACGGCCATACCACCCTGAACGCGCCCGATCTCGTCTGAAAGGTCCCAGGTTCGATTCCGGGCAAAAGCATGTACCTTGGTTGCGGGCACATCCCTGGTAGGGGGTGTGCAAGAGGCAGCTGGTCGATGTTTCTCTCTCATCGATGTTTCTAGCTCTCTATCTCTCTCCCTTCCTCTCTGTAAAAAATCAGTAAAATATATATATTAAAAAAGAAAAAGTTAGACCCGTACATGGACCTGGAATTTCCAAGTATAAGTACTTCTCACATTTGCTGAATTGTGAAAGTTTCATTAACATTTTTTTGTAAACCAAGTTTGAACATCCAAGACCCAAGAGAAAGGTGTCATCTGGCTCTTGAGAAAGATATTCTTGAAGTGTATCTATCTCTTCCAGAGAGAAAAGTGATACAGCTCTCGTCTCAGAAAAAGAACACAGATTTTAATTTAGATCAGAGCTAGCCCATGGCTGTATTCGTTTTGCAGGTAGCTCAGACAGCTTGGGATAACTGAACCCAATTTACTTAGCATCTTCATTCATGGGTGTCTCTGTCCTCAGGTATGTTGATTTCCGTTTTATGTCTGGTATGTGTCTGGTACTTTATTGCTAATATGAAAGTACCAGAGTTTAAAATGTTATTTATGCAAATAAATGAGACAGATTGAAGGTTGGCCCTTTGGCGTTTCTCTCCAGGCCAGGCCTTGTTCTAAGAACTCCAAGATCTTGGGTAGGAGAGGAAGGAATGACAGCCTTAAAAAAAAAAAGTTTTTATTGATTTTTTTTATAGAGGGAAGAGAGAGAGAGAGGGAAACATCCATTGCCGGCCTCCTGCACTCCCCTGCTGGGAATTGAGCCGGTGACCTCTTAGTGCATGGGCTGGTGCTCCACCAACTGAGCCACACCAGCCAGGGCAAAATGACAGCCCATTTAATCTGCCACAGGCCATAGCAACCTACTTACATATGTATTGCAATTAGGTGTGAAAATGTGAAAATGATACATTATTATGTTATTTTACAGGTTTTATCAAACTGTAGATTTGATTCTGATTTTGTGCTCTGTGAGGACATAATGTCCGCTGTGTGTGTCATAACGGAGAAAATGGGAAACATTGGGCTAGAATGAGTCCTTTTTTTTTGTTATTCCTCACCCGAAGACATTTTTCCCCATTGATTTTTTTTTTTTTTTTTTTTTTGGAGAGAGAGAGAGAGAGGGGCAGAGGGGAGGGAAGGTAGAGACAGAGGGAGAAACATCAGTGAGAGAGATTAACCAGAATAGGGCTAGAACAGGTCTTAACAAACCTCTTTAAGGCTGCCCCTGTGTCCATCAGGACTAATTAGAAAGTGACGTTCCAATGAAAACTGGCTTAAACAAAAGTGGAATTTGTCAGCTTTTATATCTGACAAATCCAGAGGTGGAGTTGAGCTCACATGTGCCGGAATCAAGGGCAAACAGTCTCTCCCGGCTCTTCTCTCCGTGTGGACTGGGTTCTCAGGCTGCATGGTGGCCAGGTGGCGGCCAGCATCCCTGAGGCGCAAATCCAATGGGAAAGAGCCTCTTCTCTGGAAGCTCCTTCAACGTGTGTGGGGGTGTACTCTGATTGGTCAATCAACCAATCAATCAATCACTATTACCACGTGCTGATGGCCTTAGACCTGGGTCCCACGGTTCAGGCCCAATGGGAAGGCCCAATTGGAAATGTGGGTAAAGTCTGGGGGAGAGATGAACCCTTCCAAACCCAAATGGACCTGTTACAGAGAGTGGATGCTACAAAGTCAGTCCACAGCTATCCACTCCACAGCCTTCAAGTGACCATCCTGCAGGTGCCCAGAAAGAACCAGAGATTGAAATGTCTGGCTAAGGGCCAACCCATGCCCAAAATCGGGGGGAAAAACCGCCCTATGATTCTTGAGAAAATAGATGACAAGGTGCCATGTGTGGTAATGAGTCACTTCTAATCCAAGGAGCCATGGAAACTGGTTTTCTCTGAGACGGGACTTCTCAGAAAGCGTCGGAGTTGCCGCTTCTTCCCCGCTTCCTCTGAATGGCAGGCCGGTCTTGCAATGTGACTTCCCCATCATCCTGCGGCCAGGCCTCCCCGTGGTCTCCTTCCTTCAGGCACACGTTGCTTGAGTGCCCGGTTCACTTTTGTCTTAAAGGAAACAAGCCGACTTTCTGGAAGTGTCATTTAGAAATGGATTCTGCCGTATCATCGAGAACGCTCCTGTGGTTAATCTAACCAGATAGCGGGCGTGTGTGTGTGTGTGTGTGTGTGTGTGTGTGTGTGTGTTTCACAACAGGAAACCCCAGAAGCCAGACAGTTAGGAGCTGTCGGGGACACAGGCTATTTATATGCCCCAGTCCCTAATCCTTGGCACATGTACCTTTATTCTCAGGCTAGCCACTCGTGTTGCAGGAGGACTGTGGTACTTCCTCCTGGCTATGTTCATGACCCAGTCAGAAAGGAGGGAGATAGCCGAAACCGGTTTGGCTCAGTGGATAGAGCGTCAGCCTGCGGACTCAAGGGTCCCGGGTTCCGTTCCGGTCAAGGGCATGTACCTTGGTTGTGGGCACACACCCAGTGGGGAGTGTGCAGGAGGCAGCTGATCGATGTTCCTTTCTCATTGATGTTTCTAGCTTTCTATCCCTCTCTCTTCCTCTCTGTAAAAAATCAATAACATGTATTTAAAAAAAAAAAAAGAAAAGAAAAGAAAGAAGGGACACAGGCCAAGGCTTTGTTTGTTTATTTTTGTAACCCTCACCCAAGAATATGTTTATTGACTTTAGAGAGAGGGAAAAGGGAGAGGGAGAGAAAGAAACATCGATGTGAGAGAATCATCCATCTGTTGCCTTCTGTACATACTCTGACCGGGAATCGAACCCACAATCTTTTGGTGTATGTGGGGGGGGACATGCTCCAACCGACTGCGCCACACAAGGGGGTTTTGTAAGGATTCAACCAACCAACAAATGCCTGAGACCATTTGGTGAGAGTAGAGACTTGGTCCCTTGCTCACTGTATCCCCAGTGCCTAGCACAGTACCCGGGGCACAGTGGGGATCTGAGAACGTTTTGTGGAATGAGTCCCCCCCGGACTCTGTCTGCCCCCAAGAGCAGGCTCTGGGCACACAGTGGGAAGTGGGTGTCAGTAAATGGAAGCTGTTATTATTGTTGGGAGCTATTATTGTCGGAACCAAACATGCTTGGGAACAAGATCTTCTTTCACTGATGTCATGTAGGACCGACTCTTTTTATGAGGGGGAAACTCCTCTTTATTGAAGGAAGATGTCAGCGTGGAGGCCACGGTCCCTGGTGTGAACTATTATGCCAGATGGCTTCATGGACACACTAAGTTGTCTTGTTTTTAAATATATTTTTTTTTATTGATTTCAGAGAGGGATCAAGAGATAGAAACATCGCACTAGCTGGTTTGGCTCAGTAGATAGTATCGGCCTGTGGACTGAAGAATCCTGGGTTTGAATCCAGTCAAGGGCACATGCCCAGGTTTCCGGCTCAATCCCCAGGAGGGGACACGCAGGAGGCAGCCAATCAATGATTCTCTCTCATCACTGATGTTTCTATCTCTTTCTCCCTCTTCCTTCATCTCTGAAGTCAGTATATTAAAAGAGAGAGAGAAACATCAGTGATGAGAGAGAATCACCGACTAGCTGCCTCTTGCACACCTCCCACTGGGGATATGCCCACAACCAAGGTACATGCCCTTGATCAGAATCGAACCCGGGACCCTTCAGTCCGCAGGCCGATGCCCTATCCACTGAGCCAAACCGGTTTCAGCTACAGAGCACATTTTGGTCCCAATCTTTCCCTCATCTTCACAGCCTTGCACAGGATGCAGTGTTCTTCCCAGAGAAAGCCCGAGATGAGGTTGATTCTAGTTTTACAACCCATGCAAGGACCGGTAAACAGGAAGGCGGCGATGAAAACCATCCTGAGGGTAAGGAGCATGTGGCCGACGAGAACAAAACTTAAAACAGCGCCGACAACATCTTTTTTTTAAAAAAATAATAATAATAATTCTGCCAATTGTAGGGAACGGGGTTGAAATGGAACAAAAATCGCTTTTCCCAGCTGCCATCTCCTGGCGGAGGGCTGACTTATCCACCAGGCGCGAGGCTAGGACTCCAGGATGCATCCCAGGCTGCGGGGCAAAGCCTCCGGACTCCTTCTCCGGGAGTCACCGCGGATGTCCACGCGCGTTTCCAGTCGGCCTCCCCTCCGCCCTCCGGCCGCCCGGCCGCCCGGCCTCTCTCACGGGTCGCGAGCACCCCCTACTGGCGATCGGGCTCTTCGCGGCTTGGCCCCGCCCCCCGCCAGCCCGAACGCAACGCGCATGCTCAGCACTCCCTCAACCACGCCTCTCCGGCTTCTCGCGACAGCCACCCAGCGGCGGCGGCCTGAGTCTCGCGAGAAAGGCTCATTGTCTCGCGGGACCGCGCCGGCTGACGGGCTCTCGGGTGGCCCGGGCCGGGGAAGAGGAGTCGCATGTGTCGGTTCAGCAGGCGGTAGTGGCGGGAGCGGAGGCGTCGGCGGCGGTACGACCGCCCGGGTAAGCGACCCCTCGCGATTGTTCCCACTTCGGAGAGCCACGTCTAGAGAGAGCGTGGGGGGGAGAGGCTTAGGTGCTGCTGCCCGGCGGAAGGGGCCGGGCCGGGCGCCTGTCTGCACATCCCCGCCCACATGGGCCCCTCAGGTGTCCCCGGGAGGACAGGTCTCACCGCTCCAGGTCTCACCGTTCCGCCACCTGGACCGCCTTGTTCACTCCAGTTTCCTTACTTCCTGCCTCTTCTCGGTTCTCTTGCCCTACGTTCTCTCCCGGGACTCTGGTCTCCCCGTCCCCTCCCACGCCCATCCCGGCTCTGGACTCCCTCGGCGGGTAGCTGCCCCCACGCCCTGCCCTCTGGGCACCTCCGGGGGGGGGACCTCCCCCCCCCCCATCTGTGTAGGTTCTTTTCTTCCAGCTGCTCTGTGTGGCCTGTAGGGCTGCGGGTTGCATCCCTTCCTAATGATCTCAGACCTTTTGCCCCGTCTCTACCGAAGTTATCCTGCCCATTCTTTCCGCCAGTATTTCCTCTTTTTTAATTAGTGCCCTCTGCCCCTCCCAGTCACTTGCTTCCCTGTAGACCTGATAAAGAGGGTGTGCCCGGAATTGCTCCTATTTTGTGAATCCTAATGGCAGCTTGACTCAGTCCCTGGCCCCCAGGAGAGATGGAGGCCGGACGACACCCGAGCACTGGCTGCCGCCCCGGGGTCTCGGTCCACAGTTGCGCAGATGTGTTCTTTTCCCCTCGCTTACAGGTTTGTGAGATGGCTGCTGACATTTCTGAATCCGGGGGGCATGATTGCAAAGGAGACTCCAGGAGCGATATCAAGTTAGATGCAGATTACCCACTCCGGGTCCTTTACTGTGGAGGCAAGTGTGTGGCAGGGCTTGTTTTGTTTTGTTTTGTTTGTTTTGATAACTGTGTGTGTATGCCTTGTGATCATCATCGTTTCACTCGTTTGGTTTCAGACACCAGTTTTCTTTCTTTTTAAAAAAAATATATTTTATTGATTTTTTTTTTTACAGACAGGAAGGGAGAGAGATATAGAGAGTTAGAAACATTGATCAGCTGCCTCCTGCACACCCCCCACTGGAGATGTGCCCACAAGCAAGGTACATGCCCTTGACCAGAATCGAACCCGGAACCCTTCAGTCCACAGGCTGACTGAGCCAAACCGGTTTCGGACAGACAACCTTTTTCAATCGGTCTTCGTCGTTGGGTGAACCCTTCATTTGAAGAGGGGACTGTGGGACTCGTGTCTTGGGCAAAGCTAACAGTCCCTTTGGAATAGAGACATGCAGATAGACTATCTCATGTCACTGGCTAATCTAGCCTTGAAAAGGGCTTCTTGGAATGACAAGGAAGTGGGGAAGAAAAAGCGTGGTGCACGTCTGGAGGCATGGACCGCTTTGTGCTAGTATAGCGTGTAGTAGAGGGAGGGTGTCAGGGGCCGAAGATGGTGAGGTTTCAGTGATGTGTATGGAAGGACAGTCTTGGGACAGAGTTCTTGGTTTGATTAAAAATAGACCTGGCCAGTTTGGCTCAGTGGATAGAGCATGTAGGCCTGCAGAACAAAGGGTCCGGGGTTTGATTCCGGTTCAGGGTATGTACCTTGGTAGCAGGCTTCTCCCCAGCCTGGGCAATCTAGTGATGTGTTTCACTCATATCAGTGTTTCTCTCTGCCTTTCTGTCTCCCACTTTCCCTAAAAATCAATAGAAAAATAGCCTCAGGTGAGGATCAGCTTTCGCTTGAATCAGGATCTCCCCCCCCCTTGAATATTTTTCCTCATTTTCAATATTGAAATATTTGTGAATTGGAAATGCTCTAATTTTATTAGCATCTTGGAAAGTTTTAGGAAACTTTAAAGGTACAAGACAGTAAAAGGCCAAGTAAATACTATTTTTTTCCAAGTATTTTTGACCAGCTATTATGTGCCTAGCAATGTTTTAGGTACTGGGGACTCCGTAGGGAAAAGATCCTTGTTTTCACGGACCTACCTTATGTGAGTGGAATAGAGACCTCTTCACCTGGAGTTAGGAGAGGCGATGTTACTGAGTTAAAACATTGTATCAACTCATCCTTGATTGAATATCATTGATAGTGCCTGGCCAGTGTGGCTCACTGGTTGAGCGTCAACCTATGAACCAGGAGATCATGGTTCGATCCCCAGTCAGGGTTTTGGGCTCGATCCCTGATGGGGGGCGTGCATGAGGCAACCAGTCAGTGATTCTCTCTCATCATTGATGTTTCTCTGTCTCCCTCTCCTTTCCTCTCTCTGACGTCAATAAAAACATCTTAAAAATACCTTTGCTAGTAATTTAAAGTTAGTATCAAAGAGAGTAGGCAGGGGAACTTTTTGTAGTGTTGGTTGAGTTTTGTTATATGCTCATTTTATGGGGTGATATTGTTTGACTTTGGAGTCATGGCCCAGAGTTTGCATCCTGACTCCAGCTACCTGACCTTGGGCAAGTTACCAGACTTCACTGAGGGCCAGAGGCTTCTTTCTTGAGGCCTGTGAAATAAGTCAGATGATTCAAATCCATCTTCTGGTACAGCAGCTAAGACAAGAATGCATTACAATAACTACTAGCTTATTATTATTGGAAAAGTATACTGTTAAAAGCTATTCTTTGTATCCTGTTTCATCAAGTCTGAGGCTCTATATTTTATAAGATGAGCCATTATTTTAGGTTCCACTAAGAAAGAAAGCATGGTCAGATTGACAAAGCATAATTACAAGGTTGTTCCACTTAGTGATGTGACATTGAAGGTGACTGTGAGATTTTTGCCTTGAAAAGCTAGTTTACAAAGAGTGAGTGATTTGTAGAGGGAAATTGATTTTATTTTATTTTTTTTAGTAATAGGAAAAGGAAAAAGTATATTGCAAAGAAATGGTAGCAAAGTGCCCCTGAAGTTTATAAGTGTGATATTAATCATGTGCCTTTGCCTCAAAAAAGCAAGGCTTGGTGGTAGCATTTGAAAAGTAGTACAGAAAAAATACAGGGGAAAATAGAAATGAGGCATTTTGTCAAATTTAAAATAAAAGTTATGATGAGTGCTATGTGTGTATGTATTTACATTTTTAAATCTTTTTCTTTCCATTTCCCCAGTGTGTTCATTACCAACAGAGGTAAGTTCTTTTAAAATTCTTTTAATGTCTGCATTTGAGATCATTGATTTTACAGCTATCTGGAGAACCTTTTTCTGATTTTTCATTTTCTGTCATTTAATAGTAGATTTTTCAACCTTTTAATAGACAAATTTGGTTTAGAATAATTTTATGGAATTACAAATTATCTTTAGATTTTGAGTCTCGTGTACTTCTTTTGCACTTGGCCATACAGTTTTGGTTTTTGCATGACACTCGTGAATAGTCAGCTAATAAAACAAGAGTAACTTTAATGCCAAAATGTGACATCTAAGCAGAGGAAAGCATGAATTATGTGTAAGATTTCTGTTAATAAGCTTCTAAGTCAGGCTCTGGGCAAGCCATGAAAATAATGAGGCACCCATGTGCCCAGAGCAAGAAGTAGGTGTACTTGTGTTTGTCTGTTCCCTGTCTAATGGCCCTTCTGTTCGATGGAGAAAAATAAATTACTACAGTGAGGAAGTGCCTAATTCCTTTTTGTCTCTGATTTCTTATTTCTTATGGGGCGTTTCCTGGTTGCATATAGATTTCCTGTGGATAAGACGGCAGGTGGGCGTAGTTAGTTTTATTCTTTATGTAGCAAGTAATGGGAATGCTTTTAAATGAAAATATATTGGTTGATTGAAAATGTTTTGTTGTAACTCGGTTTATTCTTTTCCCCCCCAGTACTGTGAATATATGCCCGATGTTGCTAAATGTAGACAGTGGTTAGAGAAGAATTTTCCAAATGAGTTTGCAAAACTTACAGTAGGTATGAACATTTTTTTTCTTTCATCAAAACTTTTATACCCAAAACAAATGCACATAAGGTATTATTTTAAAGATACGAAAGTCTTTTGGTAGGATAATTACAGAATTATAACCTATACCTGTGAACTTTAAAACTATTTTAAGTTCTTGGGTTAAAATTCCTTATGTCAAATCACACACTGCTTCATGTGTCTTCTCTCTCTGAGACAGTATATGTTAAAAATATCACCTTTTTTATATAAAAAAGAGTAAATGACTTAGAGGCAAATATATTTTTACTCGGTCGTTTAACAAATTATTTCTTGTGAGCATACTATATGCTACAGTGTATGTGTCAAACACAAGGCCCGCGAGCCAAATCCGTCCCGCCAGGCCTTGCAATGTGGCCCGCACCGCGCTGTCATCACTGCACTCCACTGCGTTTCCATCACAATGACAGTTTATGACTGTTCAGTAAACCATTCGGCCCTCGATTTAGGCTGGATTTTAGATTTTGGCCCCTTCTCTGATTGAGTTCGACACCCCAATGCTACACCCTGTTTCAAATGCTGAGGATAAAGCAGCAAACAAAAGATGTGTTTGGAAGTTATATTCTCCAAGGGGAGACAAATACATAAGATGAGACAAATGACATAACTGTGTTATATAGTGATAAACAGGGTACAGGGAGATAATAATTATTGGGGAAAGGCCTTGGCTGGTGTTAGTCAGTGGTTAGAGCATCGTACTGTGCACTGGAGAGTCTCGGGTTTGATCCCTGGACCAGGGCACGAACCTGGGCTGCAGGTTCGATCCCCAGTCCTAGTCAGGCCATGCAAGAGGTAACCAATCGATGTGTTTCTCTCACATCAGTGCCTCTCCCTCTGCCGTCTCTCCCTCCTTTCCCCTTCCCTCCCTTCTACTTTCTCTAAAAATCAATGGAAAAAATATCCTCGGGTGAGGATTAACAAAAATAAAATAATAGCCATGCTCAATTGTTGGTAAAATTGCTCAATTGTTGGTAAAATTGCTTATTTTTGTGTTGGGTTGCTCAAAGGTGATTTTTTTACATTAATAGGAAGTGATGCTTTTGAATTTTTGTTTTTACATTTAGAAAATTCACCCAAACAAGAAGCTGGAATTAGTGAGGGTCAAGGGCCAGCAGGAGAAGAGGAAGAGAAGAAAAAACAAAAGAGAGGTGAGACCTAACACCACGATTTGATGGACACAAACTTAACTTTTCCTCTGCCAGTAGAAATCAGTGATGAAAGCACTTCCAACATCAATGACACCCGCCTGTTGTTGTGATTCATGAATATCTCTCAGAGGGGCACAGAATCATGTTTTCAGCGGGGATAGGATCTGGTATGATTTGTTGCTTTATCAGCAAATTAGACCTAAGAAAACATGCTTTATTTGCCATATACATAAATAAAAAGCAACCAGCCAACTTGTTGATGATGTGAAAACTTTGTTGCCTTATTAAACTATCTGTATATTCTATTTAATTAGAGTGAGGACTTTTATATAATTTTTTTCTTACTACTTCTGACAGTTCAGTTGAAATTTTTTTTACTGACGTTGTATATACCTGTCTGTCTCTCTTCTGGATCCTGTCCCCTCCTGTTTTTTCTTCTTTAAATATTCTCTCCTGTGACTAAAATTAACTTATAAATATTTTTAGGATTTTGCATCTTTTCAAAAAATTTCCAGAGCCCATGTCTTTCTTTGCCTTATCCCCCTGCTTCCCTTCTTAGCCATTCGCTTACTGTTCACTGCCCAGTCTGCCCTAACCTAACTTTCACGCCACTGAAGCCCTCTAAAGAGGTCACCAAAGGCTCGGTAGTTGCTAACTAAGGATAAGAGTGTCTGAGGACTCCCTTCATGAAGTGCTGTACTTCCTTGGTTTCTGTGACGTTCTTTTTCATCCTGTCACTCCTCCTTGATCTTCTGTGCAGATTTCTCTTCTCCCTTCTGTCCCTCAGAAGTTGGTGTTCCCCTGGATTCTGTCTTCTGCCCTCTGACCTTTCATACTGCATGTTCTCTTAGGCTGATTCTTCAACGTTCGTAACTTGGACACTTAGAAGTCCCCAGTCTGTATCTCTGGTCCTGGCCTGTGTTTCTCCACAGGAAATGTGCACGGTGCCATAGGCGCCTCAGATGCAGCATTTCCAAAGCAAACTTTCTAAGTCCCAAATCTGTGTCCTTTGTTTCTCCTATTTTGGTTAATGACAGCAGTTTATCCAGTCATCTGAGCCAGAAACCCGAGACCCATCTTAGGTTCTCGGTTTTGTTCCTTTCGTCAGGTCTAAATTTTGTGACTTTTCCCTCTTATTGTCTTTATCCTGTGCCTGGTGGCCATTGCTATTGCCATTGCTTTGGTTTAGGTTTTGATTAATTTCTGCCTGAACTAATGTAGGAGCCTTCTCTGTGGCCTCTCAATCCGCCTAACTCTTCACAGACCCACCTCCACACTGTAGGGTGATCCTGACAAAACATAAATCTGGTCATCTCACTCCGCATTTCAGTGGCTTATCTCCTTCAATGTAAAATCAATTTACAAGCTTGATGTACTGTTCCTTTAATGACTGATACAGAATTTGTTGCTTTTCTGGCTTTACTGCATATCCTTAAGTGTCCTTCATCAAGGCTGGTGTAGTTCTCATATATAATGCCTTTTCTTATCTCTGAACTGGTTCCTTTTTCTGGAATGTCCTTTCTTAAACCTCTCCAGCCTGGACAATTCCCTATTCTGCAAGAGCTTAGATGCCACTTCCACTAGGAAACCTATTCTGTCCTTCCCAAGCAGGGTAAGCCACTCCTCTTCAAAGCTGTGTCGTGTTTATGGATCCTATCTATAATAATAAAAGCGTAATATGCTAGCCAATTAGACTGGACGATCTTCTGGATGAAGCCGGTGGCCGGAGGGAAGCCTAGGTCCCGGCTGCCAGGGGAAAGCTAGTGCCAGCAGCACGGGGAAGGGAGGCCTACTCTTGCATTAATTTCATGCATCGGGCCTCTAGATACAGTATACTAGAGGCCTGGTGCACCACGGGTAAGGTCCCTAGGCCTGGCCAGCAATCAGGGCTGATTGGGCCTTCCTTCCCTCAGCTGCAGGCCGCTGGCTGGGCCTTCGTTCCATGCCACCCCTTGGTGGTCAATGCATGTCATAGCAAACGGGCGAACTCCTGGTTGGTCTAACACCTGGTCGGTTGAACTCCTGAGGGGATAATTTGCATATTAACCTTTTATTATATAGGATAGTAGGTTGCTATAAAGATTTAACATTTCTTTTTTTAATAAATTTTTATTGATTTCTGAGAGGAAGGGAGAGGGAGAGATAGAAACATCAATGATTCGAGAGAATCATTGATTGGCTGCCACACTGGGGATTGAGCCCAAAACCTAAGCATGTGCCCTGACCCGGAATTGAACCTTGACCTCCTGGTTCATAGGTCGATGCTCAACCACTGAACCATGCTGGCTGGGCAAGATTTAACTTTTCTTGTTGCACTTGACTAAGAATTCTTGAAGGAGCTGTGTTCTGTTCATTTTGTGTCCTTAGTTCAGTGCTTGGCACATATTACTTAAATATCTATTGAATGAATACTCACGCACGTGTTCATTAATTTTGTATTAGAACAAGCAACTGTAGAAATAAAATTTGGTACCTTTTTAAAGTTAACTTTAAAGACAGTATTCTATATGTTAAAAGTAAAACAACTAATGCTAAGCTCTTCCTTAATAAATAAAGGTGGAAGGGGTCAAATAAAACAAAAAAAGAAGACCGTACCACAAAAGGTTACGATAGCCAAAATTCCCAGAGCAAAGAAGAAATATGTAACAAGAGTGTGTGGCCTTGCAACTTTTGGTGAGTTTAATCTTAAGTGTGTTTAAAGCATGTGAACTCTCTATATATTTCTCTTTCTAAAAATCTGGAATCATAAAAACTTCATGGGTCTGTTTTTGCTAAGAAGATACAGAATAAGAGTCTGCATTTGTTACTATAGCTTCAAAATCAAATTTGGAAGACATTTTAATGTCTTCCACAGAGAGAACTGGCTTAACTTTTTCCTCTCCAGAATTTCTGCATGGGCACATTTTTTGTAGAATGAAGAGGGCAAAATAGGGTTCCTTTTGACACCCACCAGTGAGTGCTGCTCCTTTGGCCCCGCGGCTTGGTGGCAGAGGGTTGTAAAATGATCGTCCCCTCCAGGAATAACAGTAGAGGGTGAGGGAAGGTGGTGGTGGCAGAAGGTCCTGCGTGGAGGCCTTGAATGAATAGTGAGACTGCAAATCAAGGTCCCCTCGTGTGACGACACAGCTTGGAAAACAATCACTGGACCACTTTACAAATATTAGGTTTATTTCTCTGCTGTAAATTATCTTTTTTTTTTTTTTTAAAGAGATACAGAAGAATAATAAAAGGGATAAACAAAAAAAACTTCATTGTACTCAGAAGTGTATGTGTAATGAAATTCATGTGTTCCTGGATTGATTAACTTATTGGTTTATTATTATTTTTTAAATCCTCACCCAAGGATATTTTTCCTTTTTTTTTTTTTTTTTTAGAGAAGGGGAAAGACAGAGAGAAATATCAATGTGGGAGAAACACATCGATTGGTTGCGTTTTGCATGTGCCCTGACCAGGGCCCTGGCTGGGGAGGAGCCTGCAACCAAGCTACATGTCCTTGGCTGGAATTGAACCAGGGATCCTTTGGTCTGCAAGCCTACACTCTATCCACTGAGCCAAACCAGCTGAGGGCCCTGGATTTATTTTGATCTTACTATACGAGTCATGTATATTATAGGTGATGGCATTTTTATGTACTGAGGCTGTATGTTTATCCTAATTGCTGAATTAAGACCACTGCCTGTGATAGTAATTATTGCTCTGAAAGAAATATGAAACCCATGAATATAAATCTGTTTTATGAATTTAAAATGCAGATTAAATATCAAAATGGAAAATGTCCTTGACACACAATTCTGATTATAGTCTTGCTGTTTCTTTTCTTAAAATAACAGAAATTGATCTTAAAGAAGCACAAAGATTTTTTGCTCAGAAATTCTCCTGTGGTGCCTCAGTGACAGGGGAGGATGAGATCATCATTCAGGGAGACTTTACAGACGACATCATTGATGTCATTCAGGAAAAATGGCCAGAGGTGAGTATATGGTCCATACACATCTATAGAAATAGGTTATTAAGGCAGGTTGCTTTCCTGTTATTTTCTATCACAACTCATGAGATGTAATTTGTGTTTTATAGGTGGATGATGATAGCATTGAAGATCTTGGAGAAGTGAAGAAGTGATTTTGAAAATTTGCCTGTATTTAATGGTCTGAACTGAGAGTTGATATGGCCAAAGGGGAGAGGCCTTTTGAAAAAAAAAAATATTTATCCTACAGTAAAACTGTGGACTACCCTCGCCCTTGGCATTTTCACTGTTCTGTACAAGGCTGCTTATGTTTTTATTTTTTATTTTTATTGCCAAAGTCTGATGAACAGGGAGACTGTCATGCTTATGCATGAAATAGAATTTAGTCAAATAAAAACTTTTGGTCACTTGGCCCTGACTTTTCTCCTTCTGTCTTTTAAACTTTTTCTTTTTGGAAAAACACTGTAGACTTTTTTGTGGGAAGTTTGTGTATCGTTTTCCAATTGATCGTGATTTAATCTGGTTTAAAGCTGAGTGACGTTTTAAAGAATTGTAATTGGGCTTCATCCCCAGGCATAATTATCTCCTTGCTTCTTCGGTGTGTTAGTTCCGAGATGCCTGAGCATCTGATAGATTTGTGATTGCATGGGCTTCATTGTTACCAACGAAGTCCACTTTGTAGGCCCATAAACGTACTGTTGGCTGGTGTTGTTCAAGCTGTTCTGAATATTTGTGATCAAGTATCTGACAAGCCTTAAAACCGTCTGCATTGTTTGACTCAATAAACCACTTCTTTGACATTATCCTCAAGGTATGTCTTAGGTTCATCAAGATGTTACTCCTACTATCAAACAAATTGCAAATGATATAAAGGAACAATTGAGAGGTGGTTAAAGAAATGATGGTGCATCATATAGTAGACAATTACACCTCTATTTTAAAATATTTTCCAAGAGTACTTGGAAACGTGTTTAATAATGTTAGGTAGGGGCAGACCCCAAATCCGTTTTATACACTGTCATCATTTTGAGTGGAAGGCCATTTATAGAGGCTGGGAGTTCTTGTTCTGGCTATCTGAGTGTAAAGTTTTGCTAACCAGTTGCAGATATTATAAACCTTTGTTCAATAGGTTGTCTGGGAAATAGCAACTAAAACATGTTTTTCTCACAAGAGAAACTGACCATTATAATGAATGCACTAAACAAATTTAGACTTTTGTTTTTATAAAGGTCTTAAGCCAGGTGCTACAAGTTGAAAAGAAGACTGGTGGTATTTTAAATTGCTACAGATTCCTTTAATAAATTTAGAACCTATTGTTTATTGCCATGCAAATTACAATCTTGAATGTTTTTATAAATAATTAAAATCTTAGAATGTGTAGTAAAGATGTAAATTTAAAAAAGAAATTCTGCATTAACTGAATTTTACTAAATATGATTATTTGATGAAGCAAATTTATCCATCGAGACTATGTGGTATGTGTTATGTATGCTGTTGGTGCTGGAATATGTCTGTATGCCTATGTAACACATGTGACTTCATGTAAAGATTCCTAATGTTCACAGTTCTTGGCAAATGCAGTTTCAATCCATATATAGCCAGCAGTGGATATTACTGCAGGAAAATGCAGGATTAAAATTGTCCTTGTGTATAAAATGTGTGAATGTGTTTCTTTGACCAGAATTTAAAATAGTGTATAATTTGCCCTGACTGGCTTGGCTTAGTGGATAGAGCATCGGCCTGCAGACTCAAGGGTCCCAGGTTCGATTCCTGTCAAGGGCATGTACCTTGGTTGCTGGCACATCCCCAGTAGGGGGTGTGCAAGAGGCAGATGATAGATGTTTCTCATCATTGATGTTTCTAACTCTATCCCTCTTTCTTCCTCTCTGTAAAAAGTCAATAAAATATATTTTTTAAAAATAGAGTATAATTTAGTCTCTGATTAAAATGAAGTAGTAGAACAAGGCATGACTTTAATCCATACATTCTATTTATGTGTGTTTTATGGAATGTTTTCACAGTTTAGTATTTTTAGCAAAAAGAATACTAACCCTTAAACAGTCTATCTCATGTGTAAGATTTGTCATGATTAAGCTGGCAACTTCAAATGCAAATACAGTTTTGATATACAATATTTTAAAAATATGTATTTATTGATTTGAGAGAGGGAGGGTGAGAGAAACATCCATCAGCTGCTTCCTGCACAACCCCTACTGGGGATTGACCTGGAAACCCATTCATGTGCCCTGACCGGGAATTGAACTGGTAACCTTTTAATGCATGAACAATGCTCAGCCAACTGAGCCACACCGACCAGGGCTGGAAAGGCTATTTTTAATAACTTGTCAGAATTTTCCTGATTCTAAATTCTAAGACATTGTCTTGGTTCTCCTAAACATGGGCCTATCCTATGGAGGCAAGTGTCACCCAGATCAGTGATGCTTGAAAGCAAACTAGTTTTAAATTTTTTTTTTTTTTTTTTAAGAGAGAGGGATAGAGTTACAAACATCGATGAGAGAAACAGCTGCCTCCTGCATGCCCCCCTCCCCCACTGGGGATGTGCCCGCTACCAAAGTACATGCCTTTGACCGGAATTGAACCTGGGACCCTTCAGTCTGCAGGCTGACGCTCTATCCACTGAGCCAAACTGGTTTCGTCAAACTAGTTTTGTTTTTCCATTTCAGATCTTACAAACACAATGGCATGTATTGCTAATTCACTATCAAAAAGTAAAGTTGAAATACTATAAGACCGGAAACTTGTCTTGGCAGCAATGCCAGCCTGTGGGTTAAGCAGTGAGGATGGGTGACCATGGATTAAATGTATTAATGTGACAGCGGGTAGGGGAAGCTGGAGGAAGGTCTATGGGGAAAAAGGAGATATATCTACTACTATATGTAATGCCTTAAACAATAAAATTAAATTTAAAAACATTTATCAGGGATAGGTATTATTTTTCATAGTTCATTTCCTATATAACATGGAGAGTAAAAAGGGGGAAGAAGGGAGGACTATGAAATAACATGTGAAAAAGTTTAGGTTTAACCCAGAGTGGTAAATTTTGTCATGAAAAAGTTGATTCTCATTGCTATTCAAGAGCTACATCCAGAGTCCAAACAATTTTTTCTTTTTAACTGCAAGTCTTAGTTTGGAGCTGTCTGCTGGGCTGGCCAACAACCGTTAATTACCAGAGCTGGTGTCTGCCTCCATCCGTGTATTCGTTTGAATGCTAGATACTGTTCTCAGTGCCCGCTACACACAGCAGCTAAAAAGCTCACCGTCAGTGCGGCCAGAGGGAACTAGGTGAGCAACTCAAGATGTCATAACCCAGGGTGATGGGGTCAGAAACAGCCTTTATTTTGAGTCCTTTATTAATCGGTTTTGCGGACCGCATATTCTCAGATTAATCATTCTTTTTTAAAAAAAAATTATACATTTTATTGATTTTTTACAGAGAGGAAGAGAGAGGGATAGTCAGAAACATCGATGAGAGAGAATCACTGATTGGCTGCCTCCTGCACACCCCCTACTGGGAATGGCCCTCAACCAAGGCACATGCCCTTGACCAGAATCGAACCCCGGACCTTTCAGTCCGCAGGCCGACGCTCTATCCACTGAGCCTAACCAGTTTCGGCCATCATTCTTTTTTAAAAAAATTATATATATAAAATCATTCTTTAAAAAATTTATATACATATATAAATTATTGATTTTTACAGAGAGAAAGGGAGAGAGAAACATCGATCAGCTGCCTTCTGCACACCTCCCATGGGGGATGTGCCCGCAGCCAAGGTACATGCCCTTGACCGGAATGGAACCTGGGATCCCTCAGTCCGCAGGCTGACGCTCTATCCACTGAGCCAAACCGGTTTCAGCTCAGGTTAATCACTCGAGTCCCAGGACCGGATATGGAAGCAAGAAACGTCGTGGGAGCGGTGACTGCACGTGGCCCCGCGGGAGCCAGCTTCCTGCATCCAGTCGCGCGAGGCTCCTGAGTTATCGCGAGAGCCAGGGCGGCGCCCTCGGTGAGGCCATAGGCGCTTCGGGCGGGCTGGCGCGCGAGGTTCTCCCGGAGGCGGTTTGGGGGCCGCGCTTGGGCCGCGGGCGCGGGACTCACGTGCTCCGGGCTCCCCCGACCCCCACCCCGCCGCTCCGGGCAGACGCGCTATGGCGTTTCTGAGGTGACGCCACGCACAGCGACTTTCTCCGGGGGCGGAGGCAACACCTATGAACCCTACAGTGACCTTCCTCGCTGGCCGCCAGGTGAGCGGCCTGGGCGCCACAGGCCAGCCGACCTCCACGGCGTGCATTTGGGCCGAACGCGGTGGTCTTCAGGGCAGGGGTTCCGCTTCACGTTTAAAACTACTCAGGTCGTTAAGAGAAAACTGAGGGATGGAGTGTCCTATCCCGTTTCCTTATCTCAACAGAAACCCGTTGTCCAACCCAGGGGTTAAGACCAGCTGTGGGACCAGGTGCTCTCTGTGTGTGTGTGTGTGTGTGTGTATGTATATATGTATGTATGTATGTGTATATATGTGTGTGTGTGTATGTATATATATATATATATACATACACACACACACACACATACACTCCCTCCCCAACCTGGGATCAAGCCGCAACCCCGTCTGTGGCCTGACGGGGAATCAAACCGGAACCGGAAACCTGTGGGCGCATGGACGATTCCCTACCAACTGAGTCACACTGGCCACCAGGCAGGTGTTCACTTCTTAAGGATGACAGTGGGCATTTGCAGAGCGGCTTTCTCTAGGCCACCTCCCTTCCCGTCCTTCATTTATTCACAGTAACCTGCCAGTGGGGAGCGCTCTATAACTTTATAACTCTGGTTTACCAAAAAAAAAAAAGCATTGAAAGTGGACTTGCTCTGGGTTTGCATTAATCCGTATGCGATGGGGTGAACTTTTTGTATACTTGGCCTGTTGCTTCTTGTTTCCAGTACTAGACTATATGCTCTTTGCTGTATCCCCAACCACTTGGTGCTCAGTAAATATTTGTTGAACAAATGAATGAACGAATGAATGGCTTACCAAAGACTGGAATTCAGGCCTTGTGATTCAGAATCCTTTGGCTCCAAATCCCATTTTTTGTGTGTTATTTACTAGTGTTTGTAACCCATTTGTTGTTTGTGGTTGTTTACAAATCGTATTTTTTCAGGAAGCAGGAATGATGTACCTGGCCTCCATGAACTTTTCAAGATAGAATTCTTTTTAAAAAAAAATTGATTTCAGAGAGGAAGGGAGACAGAGAGAGATAAAAACATCAATGATGAGAGAGAATCTTTTATCAGCTACCTAGTGAGGACTGAGCTCACATCCCGGGCATGTGCCCTTGATCAGAATCAAATTTGGGACCCTTCAGGCTGACACTCTATCCACTAAGCCAAACTGGCTAGGACAAGGTAGAATTCTTTTTTTTTTTTTTTTTTTTTTTAAATATATTTTATTGATTTTTTACAGAGAGGAAGGGAGAGAAATAGAGAGCTAGAAACGTCAATGAGAGAGAAACATCGACCAGCTGCCTCTTGCACACCCCCTACTGGGGATGTGCCCGCAACCAATGTACATGCCCCTGACCGGAATCGAACCTGGGACCTTCCAGTCCGCAGACCAACTCTCTACCACTGAGCCAAACCGGTTTGGGCTCTTTTTTTTTTTTTTAATACTGGAGGTCCAGTGCACGAAATTTGTGCACTGAGGGGGGGCGCTCTCAGCCTGGCCTATGTCCTCTCACAGTTCAGAAGCCTTCAGGGGATGTCCAGTTGATGACTTAGGCCCACTCCCTGTGGATATCCTTAGTGTTGCGCCTCTCTCAGCACTGCAGCTGTGCTTGCCAGCCGTGAGCCTGGCTTCTGGCTGAGCGTTGCTCCCCGTGTGGGAGTGCATTGACCAGTAATTGTGCTGTTCAGTTGATTTGCATATTAGCCTTTTATTATATAGGATATTTTTATTGATTTCAGAGAAGGAAGGAGAGGGGGAGAGAGATAAACATCAATGATGATAAAGAATCATTGATCCACTGCCTCCTTCATTCTCCCCACTGGGGATCAAACCCACAACCCAGGGGTGGAACCATGACCTCTTGATTCATAGATTGACGCTCAACCATTGAGCCATACCACCTGGGTTCAAGATTCTTTAATACTTTCGCTCTTTATTTTATTGATGGGGACAGTACCATATTTTGAAATGTAACTTAAAATTTTAATAGCTAATGCTTGTTGAGTGCCTGTGATGTGCCAAGTACTGCGAAGTACTTTACAGAGCTTCTCTTTCATAATCCACACCTCTTAAGAAATCACCGTGCTGTTGCTGCCATTTTACAGGGAAGGCTTAAAGTTAAGAAACTAGTTCAAGGTTATGGAGCCACCAAGTGGCTAATTCTGTACCTTCACTTAGTTTGGACCAACTTTCCTGCACTAGACTCTAAAATGATGTATGCTTTTGGTAGGTATGCCAAATGGCATTATGGTTATATAAAAATGCTCATTTTTAGAGATGCATACTCAAATATGTATGAGTGAGATGTATTTTTTTTATCAACAACAAAAAGGAAAAAAATTGAAACAGATATGGCAAAACCTTGATAATGGCAGGACTTGGGTTCTAAGCATATGGGAGTTTATTGTGCTGTTCTCTGTCTTCTGTGTATGTTTTAAAACTTTCCTTTCTAAGATTTTTAAAAAAAATAGGAATGTTGAGTTTGTATCAGTCCCAAAATTAAATTGATAGAGTGAGTTTATATAGATGTGTAACCAGTAGTTATTTCGTGTTTCTGTTTACTTGATTATTCCAGAATTGCTGGAGCAAGGTGAGGGATAATATTGTTGGTTGATACAAGGAAAGGGTTGACAGCAAAGAAAAATGCAAAGATGGGTTCATTTGTAATTTAGCCAGTGGAGGTTTCACAAACTGTCCCACGTAGTTTTATTGTTTATTTGTTTGTTTTTTTAAATAAATTTTTATTGATTTCAGAGAGAAGAATGGAAAGGGAGAGAGATAGAAACATCATTTGCCAGGATTCGTATCCCAGCATAAGAAGGGTTCATCAATCTGGATAAAGGCTGTGCGTAGATGAAGTAGGAGCTCAAAGACGAAAGATAGTTTTGAAAGGCATTGGGGGTCAGAGGAGCTTCAGCTTCAGCTAAAGGAGCTAAAGACCCCTTGCTTTTTATCTACACAATTTTTCCTAAGGCAAGGTGGAGATAATACACTTCAAAGGGTATGGTACAGAAGCATTGTCAGATTGGGGAATAGCCTGTAGCTGTTCAGGTGTTTGGCCAACAGGAGGCATTAACATGTAGATGAAGATGCCCTGAGCTGTCTGGCAGCAAACAATAATCCTATTCAGGTTTGGGGGAAGTGCCTTCTAGCCACTCCAACGGGTAATTACATATGTGACTCAGTCCTTATTGAACCCCCTAGTTTCATCAACCTTTTGATAAAACTCTTGTAATTATGACATGCTGGAATTGGCTCCTGGCAATCATTGATGAGAGAAAATCTTCCATCAGCTTCCTCTTGCACATTCCTACTGGGGATCAAGCCTGCAACCTGGGCATGTGCCCCAACCAGGAGTTGAACTGTGTCCTCCACGCTCAACCACGGAGCCCCACCAGCCGGGCCAGTCCCACTTTTTGAGTGGTGTGTGTGGTATTTACAAAATGATAGAGGCAGTGAACAGCAGGTGTGATCTTGGTTTAAATATACATAATTTTGATGCCACATTATAAA